TTATCTCCACTTAATTAAAGCCTTCGTACCTAAAATTTTTCTACATGCAAGCAATATAGCAGGCAAAGTTATTTTACAAAAAAATATTTTAATGAAATTACGATCATACTCTAATAAATTATGAGTAATTTTTATTTACAGTTTTTATTGAATTGGATTGATTGAATGAAGCTTGTGTCCATTTAATTTTTGGGCTTGGGATCTATTTAATTAGAGCCGCTTACATAAAATATTTTTCTATATGCAAGTTGAAGAAACCGAAATATATTACGCGAAAATATTAATAAAATGGCCATCATACTTTAATGGATTATGAAGACAATAATATTTACAGTTTGAATTTGAGTGGTTTGATTTGGCGCTTTTGTGGGTTTAATCTGCATTTTGAGATGGAATTTTCGTCTATATTTTTATAGTAATCGCATACTCCGCGGGATTATCGTTTCCGATTTTGCGGGTTTGCAACTCGAAAGCAATATTAAGCCCAATTAATTAGAGTTTCGTACCTAAAATTTTTCTATAGGCAAGCAATATAACAGAAAAAAATAGTTTGAATTTCTACAATATTTTAATAAAATGACCATCATACTCTAATGGATTATGAAGACTTTTATTTACAGTTTTTATTGAATTGGAATCGTGCTCAGCGAGCTATTGACAGATGAGCCAAAATTAAGCAAATTATTAGAAATAATGTTCATTATTATAATATTTTTTATATTTACGCTGTAATAACAACAACTTATACATTGTAGTTGATAGATAAAAGTGCTAGAAAAATTGTGTTGATATTTTACTTATCTGACCATAACTCGCTGTGGATAAAAGTGCAAAAGTGTAAGTCCCTCTGCAACTCAATTTCTTACCTGCTTTACTTGAACTGTACTTTTTGAACTGAATTTGCACTGTTCTTTCCGCGCAGCATTGGCAAGGCCGCAGATTTTCTCTGGACAACTTATCGCTTTTTCCACACTCACATTGTGAATTTGAGCATGCGAAGGTTGGCCTGTTGTACGACCTCAAAACAGATACGCAATAGAACGATCTTATATATATCTTATATATTACTTACTAATTAGAACGATCTTATATATTATTACACTTATTTGCCTGACCGATTTTATGAAACCGTCTTAATTTCCGTCTAATCTCAACTTACTTTCCACCTTGCAGTAGTAGTGAGGGGCCGGACAACATTGCCTTCCACTGTTATTACTATTAGCACTTAAAGCTCGGCAGATGACTGCAGGCCGTTCTTGGCAAGGACTGTTGCTGCGCGATCTTCTTCTGGGCCTGCTAAAATTGTGCAAAGTGTTTACGTAAGAAAACCAAGCTGATGGCTTTTACACACATGAGCTACTTATTTGTAGTTAAATTTGAAAATTGTAGCTCTAATTGGAGCCATGCGTTCATCTGAAGCACAAAAACCTTATGAATTTTTAACACAGGCCATAAATGATGGTGTAATATGTAAAGGGGGTCGTATTGTCCACACTTTCATAAATAATAAATTGAATTTTCTCATGGAGGTTTACCTGAAAGGAATTCTAGACTGTTTCCTATTCGTTTTGGGATTTGAGCAAATTTTCAGCATTTTATGGTTGGAAAGGGGAAAGTTGTCAATTGAATGAACGGTTTTGTGAATGGTACACATGGTACCATGAGCGGAATCTTCCAACAGTATTAAATCGTCGACGTTGTGCCCAAATTTGTAAACCTGCAACAAAAATATAACGTTTAGAGATTACTAATTGTAGCAGTCAAATTTTGCCTGCACTTCTGCAAATATTATATATAAACACGTGATTATTAGTCTTAGCGATCAACAGACGTGATTTTCAAGCCTCCAGCATTTTGTGTTGGCCTGTTTTGATACGTCTGTTTGCAGACTTCCATCGCATTTTTTTTTTCAGGAAATATGCATGTATTCGTCACTATTGTGACGAAAATTGAAAATTCTTATTCCATACATTTTTGGAATGATTGCAAAAAAGGTTACGACTTTCAACGCCCAAAAGAGTCAACTATCCAAAAATCAATAATCGTATTTGTATATATATCGTATCAATATCATATATCGTATAATGAGGCAATAGAACGACTGTTGGAGAAATTGTGAAAAATAAACGCTTTTGCCGGTCAAAATGTTCGTTTTTGAAAATTAAAACGATTACGAATTAAAAGAAATGATTCCTGTTAGTTACCTGTGTCATTTTGGAATTAATCTGGGCTGAAATAACAGCAGCACTGCAAAATTTGGAAAAATGCACAATAAATTCACAATAATCTGACAGTGACTTTGATATCGTCACGATTTCCGAGCGTCATTTTTAAACAACTGTTCAAACTCAAATAACCGGCGAAAAATTCAAACTTTTTATGAACAGGTTTTTCCACGGCTGTTCATGCCCTAATCCTCCCCTTTTATACGCTTTTTAAGGGATAAACAATACATTTTTAAACAATTTTTGCTGACTTCTTCTTGCAGTTCACCACCCCTACCGCATGATAATAAAAATTGAACTTTTCAGTTCTATTGTGTTCCAGGTTTCACCACAAAAGTATCCAAATTAAGTTTATGAGAATGCAAGGTTTCATTTTATTTATTGTTTTTTTAATTAAATTTCATCTAACTTGTATTATCAAATACATTGAATAAACCTTGTAGGTCTCAAGATTCATCTGCAAAATCTAAATTTTAATCTGCCGTTGAGGCAGGAAAATTTCGTAGAAAATTCTATACAAAAGCGCATACACAATTTTTCGTCATAATCTATTAGAGTATGATGGTCATTTTATTAACATTTTCGCGAAATATATTTCGGTTTCTTCTACATGCATATAGAAAAATATTTTATGTGAGCGGCTCTAATTAAATAGATCCCTTGATCGCCCAAGGCCAAAAATGCAAATTAAATAGACAAAAGCTTCATTCAATCAATCTAATTCAATACAAACTGTAAATAAAAATTCTTCATAATCCATTAGAGTATGATCGTCCTTTTATTAAAATATTTTCGTAAAATTGTTTTTGTCTGCTATATTGCTTGCATATAAAAAAATTTTCGGTACGAGGCTTTAATTAAGAGGAGATAAAATTGCTTTAGACCCAAACCCGAAATAATCCATTAAAGTTAAAACTCTAAAGATTATTGTCTTCATAATCCATTAAAGTATGATGCTCATTTTATTAAAATTGTCCACATCCATTTTAACGTTTTTAACATGAAACATTTCCAGCATGATTTCAAAATTAAGGTTCGGGCAGGTTCAAGTACATAATAAATAAACAAAGAATTCAAATCGGTTAAATGGAGAAAACTATTTGCTCTTCTTACGGAACATTTTACCGGGTTTTGCTACAGAGCTCGAGATACTGCAAACAATTTTCCATGCAGCAGATTATTTTAAAAACAAGCCCGTAATTAATGGAAAATCCATCAACATTTTGGACATTTGTTAAAATTATTAAATGAGTTCAATAATTCAGAATTAAAACTTACATTCTTTTTTCGTTCTGAGTAATTAAAATCTGAATTGCAAGGCATCGTAAATAATTATTTGTACAGAAACTGTAGGTCTGATGAAAATTTTATAAGACAAAAAGTTTTGAAAAAATTGAATTTTTTTGTACCAAGGGTGACAAAATACAATTGTTTAAGAGCTTAGAGCTGAAAATTGTGATGACAATCTAACATCCAAAGTGGATTTCCGGAGCAGTTTGGGTTGGTTGTAAAATATGAAAAATATTATTAATAAATTATTCTTACTATACCTACTGTCATCACACTGTACTTACATTTTAGAGGTTGTCACATTGCTGGTATGGACTTTCACCTAAAACAACACTTTATAGTAAAGTAAAATATTATAGTAGTAAATAAAAATCCTCTAAAATCGTGTCTATGCATCTACGCTTTCTCTATACAAAAAATGCATCTACCAAGCCAAAGCAGGAAATAATTTGAAATTTTTAACAACGTTTAGATTGTCATGCCACGTAGTTGGTGAAAAATGTGCTTACCCAACTGCGCTTCTTCCCTTGAAAAATCGTATCTTCCCAACTAAAGCAAGCAGCAAGTTGAATTTTTTACTATGTTTAGAAGACACCTGGTGCTAAAGATGCTGAAAGTTTCGCAAAAGTCCTGAAAAATACAGATTTGTTTCAACTCAGTAAATATTGGTCCAGTAAAGGGTGTGTTGCAACGCAACATCGCTTTCTCCTTTAAAAACTTGCATCTGCCAATCCAAAGATGGAAATAAGATTGCATTTTTACCACGCTTAGACCATCGTTGGTTCTAAATATACTGAACGTTTGCCAAACATCGTTCGCAATTCTGARWTTTTCCAGCTTATTAAATATCAGCCCGGTAAAAATGTCTTTACTCAACTTGTCCGCTTAAAAAATCGCGTCTTCCCAASGAAAGCAAGCAGCAATTTGAATTCTTTGCGATGYTTAGAAGACACTTGGTGCTAAAGATGCTGAGAGTTTTATGAAAATCATGAAAAATCCAAATTTTTTGCARCTCAGTAARTATTAGYGCCGTAATGGACGTGWCTAAGCAACTGCGCTTTCTCCTTTAGAAAATCGTATATCCCAAACYAAAGCWGGAAAAAATTKGAAATTTTTACCAAGTTTAGRCCATAGTTGCTTGTCAAGAAACCGAAKGTTTGMWAAAAATCGTCCGRAATCCAGRAGTTTTRCCAGCATAGTCAATATGAGTTCGGTAATAGATGTGTTTACTCAACTGCGCTTGTTCCCTTAAAGAATYGCGTMTTTCCTTCCCAACATAAGTAAGCAGCAATTGGARTGTTTTTCMATATTTAGAAGRCACTTGGTACTTAACATGCTGAAAGTTTCATAAAAATCCTATAAAATC